AAAAAAAATACAAGTTAAAAGGAAACACTGATATATTCAACTACATTAAAATTAACAAATTCTGGCAAGATACACCATAAAATAAAAACATACCATAAGCTGTAAAAAGGTGTTTCATTTTTTTTAAGGAAGGCAAAGCTCACAGTGGCCCATGTGAGATCAAACCAACAACCTTGGTGCTATCAGCACCATGCTCTAACCAACTGAGCTAACCAGCCACCCTAAAAAGGTATTGTAACAAATGATAAACTGACAAAAGATGAGAAACGCTAACAGACAAAAACCACTCACAAATAAAAAGAACAAACAACCCAACAGAAAAATAGGCTATACCCAAAACTAATATAATATTGAATGTCAACTATTAAAAAAAAATACACACACACACACACACACACACACACACACACACACACACAGTCACAGGATGAAAACTACAGCATAGGGAATATAGTCAATGGTATTGTAATAGCTATATACAGTGTCAGACGGTAGTAGACTTATTGGGGTTATCACTAAAGTGTGTAAATGTCTAATCATTACATTGCTTTATGCACCTGAAACTAATAATAAAAGATAATAAAAATAAAATCTGAGTGGTAAATTAAAAAAATAATAATAATAATATTGAATGTCAACTATTATTTAAGTATATAGTCATGGGATGTAAAGTATAGTATAGGGAATGTAGTTAATGGTATTGTAATAGCTATGTACGGTGTCAGAGGGGTAGACTTGTCGGGGTTATCACTTTGTGAGATGTGTAAATGTCTAATCATTATGTTGTTTTATACATCTGAAACTAATAAAAAAGTTAAAGAAAGAAAAATAGGCTAAAAACTGAAGATTTTCACATAAATCAAACACAAATGATCAATAAATTATGAAAGAATGTTCAACCTCACTAGTAATTTGGGAAATGTAAATTAAAATTTTAATGAGATACCATCGCACACTAAACAGGTTAGACAAAATTTTAAGTTGGACAATATTAAGTATTGAAGAATGCAGAAGCAGCAGAAAGCCAATCAGAGAATAAATTGGGAAGAGCATTTTGAAAGAGTCTGGAATCACTTAGTTAAGTGAAATATGCATAAGTCCAATGACCTAACTATTTCACTTCTGATGGTTGAGAGAGTCCTCTCTAGTGTACAAATGTATATACAAAAATGTTCATAGGAACACTATGTGTAACACAGAAATGCTTAATATGACTTACATATCCATCCACATTAGAATGGAGTAGGTTGTATTGGTACACACAGTAGGACCACATAATGATAAAAATAAATGAACAACAGCCAAGCATATCAATACAATTAAATCTCAGAAACATAATTTTAAGCAAACATTTGCAGCATACATACTGCATAATTCTATTTATCGAAAATTACAAACTATACAATATTTTATAAATGGATTATATCCACATGTAGTAAAACTAGAAAGAAAAGCAACAAAAATGAGTAATAGGAGACCTAGAGTTGTAGATACCTCTGGGGGTAGAGAAGGTGATGGGATAGAAGGCAAGGAGCTCCTAAGATACAATGATGCTCTATTTCTTAAACTAGGTGGTAGCTTACATAGGTGTGCATCATCTTATTTTTTTGTATTTATAAATATACATTCTTTACTATGTTTGGTATAATTCACAAACATTTAAAGAATCTACTTTGACTATTCCAATTTGCAGTTTTGCTTTTCAAAGTTTACAAATGCAGAAGATTCCTAATAGCATTGTAAGTTATATTTTCTAAGGAAAAAAAGGTCACGCTCCTAAATGCCATTTCGATATCACATATTTAAGTATACATTGCTCTTACCAGTGCCGTGTCAGGTAATTAAAATTAAACTCAAACTGGCTCAACACATCTCCTCCTGTGGTGTGAGAAAAATATTTATATGTGGTTGGATTAGTGACCACACACAGCAGGCTCCTTTCAACACAAATTTGCACAACCCAGTTTATCAGTTCTTCACATTGTTTTAAGTTTCTGTTCATTGTTTTAGGTATAGACATGTTTTAAGAAAAATTATCTTTTAAAATCTTAGCTAGTGAAATATGAATTAAGATTCACTCATATAACCAAAGTGTTTTTTACTTTAAGGAATGCTGGATCATAAGTGTTCTTTTAAATAAATACTACTCACCATCTATAATAGTTTGTATATTTGAAGGTAATTTACTACAGAAAAAAAGATGGAGTTTACCAATTCAAAGCTAATGTATTAGTAGACACTAGGTAATGAATTTTAATGTGATATAAAAGTAAAGGTTTTCTAAAATTATGATAGAAGTCAATGATAAAATGTGAATTATCAAAAAAGGAATACACACATACACAACTTTTCAGAAGTACATGTCTATGTTAAATGAGGTATGCCTGTACTCTAAATGAACTGCAATATTAAAATAGAAAGCAGTTAGCATGTGCTACTAGTATGATTTTAAAAATACATATTTAAGGAACAGTAGTCACTTCATTACACATCAAATATAACTACTACAAAAGAAAATTCAGCAAATATAAATAAACAGTACCAAAATCACCAGCTGAATGTGCCTCAGCATAGTAGCCATGAAAATCAATCTGAGAAAGAAAGAAAGAACCATCTGATATATATCACACATTATAGCCCCAAACCCTACATCACAAGCAAGCAATAGTAGGGAGATGACAGCCTAACCCAATGAACTGCTGAGGATGCATAGTGGATGAACCCAATTTTCAAAAAACATTTAATTTTATTATTTTATCTGTTAAAAGAAATTATATTGGTAGCTAAGTTGTATACTTAATGTCTGGTAACAGATAAAGATACTGCAGACATTGGCACCTAATAGTATATCTGCAAAATCTCTACTGAGTCCAAGTTTAAGCTTCACCCAGAATGGTATTAACATCAGTGACTGGCCAGAGGGGACTTTCAGAAGCTAAGTCACTAGGTAAGATCACAGTGTTCAGCTTGGGGACATGGCATTTTCATATAGAAAATAAAGGGAGAAAAGATACATGGAACTATCACTTTTAAATAGAACCAAGTAGTGGGTATTCATATCCTTATTAAGATACACAGCTTGAATAAAACAAAAAATTTCTAAAATATCATTTCTGACTAAAACAGGACATCCCATCTG